TCCTGGGACTCCAGGATCATGACCTGAGCCGAAGGCAGTCGCCCAACCAACTGAGCCACCCAGGCGCCCCTATTTTAAAGTTTTTGGACTAGAATTGAAATAATCACTTCTAAAATGAAGTAGTACTTGGGAGGAATATTCTAGTAACTTTCTTATAGTTCTCTGCATGAATCATCTAACTTCTTTTTTCTTGGTCTCAAGATTAACAAAAAGGAAAAAATTATTGGTACTATTTTCTTTTTTTTAAAGATTTTATTTATTTATTTGACAGAGAGAGAGAGCATGCACAAGCAAGGGGAGCAGCAAGCAACAGGCAGAGGGAGAGGGAGAAGCAGGCTCCCCGCTGAGCAGGGAGCCGGATATGGGGCTCAATCCCAGGACCTTGGGATCCTGACCAGAGCTGAAGTAAGACGCTTAACCAACTGAGCCACCCAGGTGCCCCTTGGCACTATTTTCTTAATTCATGAGGATACTGCAAAGTCTTTCCAGAGAACCAAAAAAGTGACATCCTAAGGAATTATTTTTCATATCTTCTTTCACCAAATTCAAAATAAGAGTGTAGAAAAAGAATCTTTTCAGGGTAGGCTTAGCTGGAGATAATTTATGGTGGTTTCTCTTAAACTCTAAACTTTAAATGTGAGTTTAAACTATTATGAGCAGTAATGATTTGTTTCTGCTTCCTCAATAAACAAGCAAAAAAGTTAATTCATGTTATTAACATGCTTACCTGTTCATCTCTTAGCTGGGATTCTTAACTATGGAGGTAAAGCCTCAACAAAAAGCATTTGATGGGCTATAAAACATATTATGTGCTCAAGTGGTATGTGGAAATTAATTTCCAAAATTCAAGACTATGAAATATGTGTGTCAAATGCTCTGCAAAATAAGAACTTCAAATCCCAAGTTTTATGAATTCTAGGACAGTGCTTCTGAACCTCAGATGAGTCCCATTATTAAGGAGATTACAGAAAAACAGTATTATATGTGGAAGAAAATGTAATACTAGTAGTTTAGTAATTCTACTCACATGAGTTTAAACCCTGTAAGTGACTGGGAGATGGGAGAAAATTATGTCTTACGTTATCTTTTTGCACCATAGTGTACTTTAAGGGCAACTTGGGAATTTTGTTAAAGGTAATTTTGGCAAAGTGCAACTTTTGTCTTATGCCCTAACTTAAGATTCTAAACTCCAGATGAGACAAGACTCATTGTACCTACTGCTCACCTATAAGCTATTTAGGATAGCTTTTTTGGTTTACTATGTTTATTCTTGGTCACTAAAACCAATTTTTAAAAAAATATAGATAGTTCTTTATTTTCTAAGTGAAACTCAGAGAAATGTGTTTACTTGCAAAAAGCTTGAGGTCTGAGGATTCCACTTCTCTTCTGGTCTTCCATGCCACGTATTTAAGATGCTTAAACAAACCTGAGGAAGAAGGGAAGAAAGCATAAACAGAATTGAGTGGTTTTTTTTTTTTTTAAGATTTTATTTATTTATTTGACAGAGAGAAAGACAGTGAGAGAGGGAACACAAGCAGGGGGAGTGAGAGAGGGAGAAGCAGGCTTCCCACCGAGCAGGGAGCCTGACATGGGGCTCGACCCCACCGAGCAGGGAGCCTGACATGGGGCTCGACCCCAAGGACCCTGGGATCATGACCTGAGCCGAAGGCAGCCGCTTAACCGAGCCACCCAGGTGCCCCATCATGAGTTCCATCTTGATCAATAAAACTTAAAAGAGCTACCTGGATCAAACCAAAATATGATGTTTATCATAGCTACATCTGGATAAAGTGTTAAGAATATGAGCTGACAATGAATAACAGAAAAACACCCATTACATAGCATAGTATATTAATATACATATAGCTACATTTAAGTTAATAATAAACAACATATTTTCATTCTATAATATAGGTTCCCTGATTCCTAGTCAATCCTTTGATACTTTAACAAAGTCAAGAGTTACAGACTTTTTATTCATAAGCTGAATTTACAGTCCCTCCCCTCTTCAGTTTTATATTAGTATCCACAAAAGTGCAAGAAGTTTTCATTATCATTTGTTTGGAACTGACCAAATCAAGAACCACGTAACAGCTTCCTTTCACTATCTGTGTGAAAACAAAAATTTTAAAGCTGTTGGATGGTCTTCTACCAGGCCACTGAACTAGTCAGCAATCAAGTCTCCTACAATTTTATATATTCATTTGGTCACTTTATTCCTACCACTATCCATTCTTGTGACTCAAACTTATCTTATCCTTAGACTATCCACTAATTTGCCATATTCCTCCTTCTACCCCACATCCCTTTGGAATTATCAACTTTTGATTTCCTGTATTTTCATGTTGTATCTAAAATTTTATTATGGATATTTCAAACATAGGAAAGCACAGAGTATGTAATCCAAAATACTAATTTGCAACAAGAAACTCTATTAGAAGAAATAATAACATCTTTGGTGTGAGGGAAACACTCTTAATTAGTAAAATGCTTTTAGCCTTTTAAAATAGTAAGTACCTGCCTCTGGAAAATTATGCTGCTACTGAGTAGGACTGTAAACAGTGGATGATTTCCAGAACTTTCCATTTTAAGAAAAATTGTTTCAGGGGAGCCTGGGTGGCTCAGTTAAGCGTCTACCTTCAGCTCAGGTCATGATCTCAGGGTCCTGGGACTGAGCCCAACATCTGGCTCCCTGCTCAGCGGGGAGTCTGCTTCTCCCTCTCCCTCTGCTCCCCGTCCCCACCACTCATGCTCACTCTCTTGCTTGTTCTCACTCTCAAATAAATAAAATCTTTAAAAAAAAAAGAAAAA